CTGTTCCACCATGTGCCAACAAAGTGACTCTGGGCGAACTGCTGATGAGTGTGCATGGGTCTTGGTCTGTCCTTAATCATTCAGCAGTAACAATATTGCAGGCAACACTGTCTAAGAACCGTCTGTGTAAGCCTGTAGATAAAGACCCTAATCACAGCCTTGACTATTTCTGGTTTTTTCTTTCTTTCTTTCTTTTTAAGTTACTTGAAAGAGAGAGATTAGCAGCAACAATTTCCCCATTGGCTCACCTGCCTAACGCCTGCAGTAACTGCAGCTGAACTGGGCTGAAGCCGGGAGTCAGGAATTTTAACCAGGTTGCCAGAATGGGTAGCAAGGACTCAACTACACTGACGACCACCTTCTGCCTCCTAGAGCGTACGTTAGCAGAGAGCAGAAAACATGAATGAAGCAACAACTTGAACCCAGGTACTTCAGTGTGGGACACAGGTATGTCCCAGCTGGGGGTTTAGCCAATATGTCAAATGTCTCTGCCCTTGCAAATATCTCCTTCTTGAGAGAAAGCTTAGCACAGTCAGAAAGCAAAATCAGGAAAGAAAAAAATGGTGAGATTTTGAGAATCAAGTTGACCTTAGCTCAGATTCAGATTCCAACATATTATAGCTCTGAGACCTTAGAAAAAAATGCTTAACATTCCCAAGCTTTTGTTTCCCCATTTATAAAGTAATAGCTGTACTTTTAATGGAACAAAAGTGAGGATGAAATTAGAGTTAGAAGTTAGATGTGAGCTCCTGCTGCACCTACTGTTGTCAATTCAGAGAGAGAAATGATGGCAGGAACCACACCAAAAGGCTAAAAATGGTCAACTTTCAAAAAGAATTACCTATTGTTATTTGAAAGACAGATTTACAAAAGCAAAGAAAAGGTGAAAAGAGAGAAATCATCCGTCTGCTTGTGCACTCCCCAAATGGCCTCAGTGGTCAGAGCTGAGCCAATACAAACCCAGGAATCTTTTCTGGGTCTCCCACATGATGACAAGGTCCCAAGCACTTGGGCCATACTTGACTGTTTTCCCAGACCACAAGCAGGGAGCTGGATTAGAAGTGGAGCAGCCGACACACAAACTGGCATCCCACGGGGTGCCAGCACTAGCAGGTGGAACATTAGCTTTTTGAGCCACCTGTGCTGGTCTCTAAAACAGTTAACTTTTAGTGATAGAAAAATGATGCTGTCCTTTTTCCCTTTGTTACTTTTGATATTGTGGATTATTTTTTACTTTTAAGAAGATTATATAGTCCTCTTAACAAGCCATTATACTTTTGGGAATCTATTCTAAGGAAAAAGTCTGAAATATGGAAACATTTTAGGGATCAGGGTGTTCAACAATGCATTTAGAAAATAATATAGCATTGAAAAATAGCATAAATTGAAATAGTGGAGAAAAAGGCCCAGGAAATAATGGGGAGAAGTGTTCAGACAATGGGAAAATGTGTCACATTACAACGCTGTTACAGCAATAGTTACAAAGAGTTTCCAAACAAAGAAACATGTTCATATTGTAACACAAATGAAAAGAGAATTAATTTGCAAGTTTAAGGTCAGGAAATGACTTTTTTTTTGTCAGGAGATGAGCTTCATGATCCCTCCTCTGTTTAGCAGAGAGAATGACTGGTGTCTAGGCACCAATGCCTCATGGAAACCTGGGAATAGGGGGACATAGTGTTGTGAGCTCCTCTTCAGTGGTGTTGGAGGTAGGAGCAGATACAATTCACAGTGGACTCTTAACTATTAGATGAAAAACTTAGACCTTAAGAAGGCAAGGGCCATTGCCTGAGATGGTGGACTAAGTTTGCAGTAGAGTTTGATTTTTCGTTTGTATACCATAGGGCATTGTTTCACACACACACACACACACACACACACACACACCCCAGTGATGAACTGCCTAGGTCAGCCTGGCTCCAGGAAGGTCAAGGAACCCAACCAAACTCTACTGAGAATATGGAGCCTATGAATATTCCTGGTAATTCCACATCATTGTCTCTGATGCCCTCTAGGACAGAAGCAACATTGGGATGAGGAAACATGGTTTTCCTAGTCCTCTCAGGGACCACGCAAAGATGCACATGTAAGGAGAAAGCTGGTGTAGCAGAGACGGATGGTCCTTATTAGCTCTCCAATCTCCGTATTCTAGCAACCCCCAGCACTGAGTGAAGGAAACAGAAACACCTCAGAGGCACATGAACACAAGGTCTTGACTAAATTTTTCAGGAATGCAGGATTCGCTGATCTTCCACTGTGTGCTTTGTTTTACAATGTGTGTTGGCTCAAGGATGGATTTCCTGCTGCAGAAGCTGAGCTGTGAGTACCTCCCAGTGCATAGCTCCCAACTGGTACACTTGAGAATTCCATTCAAGAGGAGAGAGTGAGATGAGGAGAGAAGAAATATGTTCTTTAGGATTAACCACTTTTTGAAAGATTTATTTACTTTTATATGAAAGGCGAATTTTACAGAGAGAGGAGAGACACAGAGAGAGAGAGAGAGAGTCTTCCATTGGCTGGTTCACTTCCCAAGTGGCCACAACAGCCATAGCTCAGCTGATTCAAAGCTGGAAGCCAGGAGCCCAAGGAATTGGGCGATTCTCTACTACTTTCCCAAGTCACAAACAGGGAGCTGAATCTGAAGTGTAGCAGCTGGGATATGAACTAGTGCCCATATGGGATGCCAGCGTCACAGGACAGAAAATTAGCCTGTGCACCACCACGTGTGTTCCAGGATTTACCACTACTTTGAGACCAGGAACGGAAGGGAGAAGGCCATCCGGGTGACTCATACTCTCTAAGCCCTGGATGGAGCGCTCTGACAATCTAGTTCTAACCTCAATTGTAACGTTGCTACAGGGTAAAGATGCCATTTTGAAAGGCTGGATACTGACACAACAATCCAGACAGAATGTCCATACAATGCCACAGTCCTTGAAAGGCCCTAGCCCAGAAACTGACTGATCCCTGTTGTCACCAGGCACAGGGTCTGTGGGTTCAATATCTGTGTACAATCAGACTATGTGGGCACCAATCTTGATATAATTTCTTAAACAAAGTTGGTAACACTTGTTGTTTCAGTTTCCACATTCTCAAAACAGGAACCCTGACAGCACCTCTCTCATGGGGTTGGTGTCAGGACTGAAAGTATTATTACTTTGTATTCAATTATTGGGACAAAACAGTATCAGTATGTGTCCTGTGAGTTGTGTTCCTGTGATTGTGACCTGCATGTAGGAGTCTCTGTGTTCTTGCTATTTTCAACAAGAAGCCAACATCACAAATTGGTTGAGGCAAACATAGCAAAGACAAAATGATAGAACTCTTTGCCAGACCTTGAAGGCCTTCCACATCTAGCTTCACAACTTCACCAACTCCAATCTGTGACCATATAGTGTATGAATTAATCAAACCCCAATCCTGCTGGCCTCTTATTGTCCTTCTTTTTTTCCTTCAGTCCTCAATACCTGGCAAAATTCCACCCTTCCAGAAGGTTCAACTTAAATCACTTATTCTCAATGACACCATTTCCCCATGTCTCCGTGAAGCATGAATGATTCCCCCTCAGCATCCCCTCACGCTATTTTAAGTGACAGGGGAAGCTATTATTATTTTCCAACTGTCTCTCCATATCCAAAGCATCTTAAAAGAGAGGTGGGTCCTCAATGAATTCTTTAGTTTGTTTGAGTGGTATGATAGGTGGGAATGCAAGTTTAGTAAGCTGAGAAGAGGTTAGACTGTGCTGCTTAACGAAGTAGAGAAACTCATGCTATTTTTAGATGTTATATATGAAATGGAATCCATCAGATGAATCTTGATCAATAAAGGAACATAGTGAGATCTGTGTGATGCATGCTGGAGGCAACCAAGTGAGGGTAGATGGAAGAGAGAGTGGTGATTTGAATTAAGAATAAGTGCAGTGCTTCCAGAGGTTGTACCTCAAACCTAGGCTGGCCTGAAGAGGACCTCTAGAGCGTTATGGCCCAGAAGGCAGAGGCACTGGGACAGAGTCCTAAGGACTTGGAGAAACAGAGAGGAGAGAAGAACTGGGTGCCATAATTGCACTTGTCCTACTAAAGTTATTTAGTATCTCCAGGACTCATAGAGTGGGCATCACCAGGATGGCGATATTTGAACAAAGATTTGAAAGTGAGAGGATGTTTCCCCCAGATTTCCAAGGGGAAATGAATTCAGGCAGAGGGGAGCAGCCTGTGCAGGACAACTCAGAATCAGGAGGCACTGAGAGTGTCTAAAGAACTTAAGGAGGCCAGAGAAAGTAAAGCAGTTAGCGATAGGTGCTCTAGTTGGGGAGTGAAAACAGTGGATCCCATGGGAGCTCATGGCCAGTTGCATGGACTTGAGTTTTATACTGCATATGACAGGGAACCATGTAAGCACAAGAGGAGCATGACCTAACATGTTTTAAGGAGTAACCTTTGCTGTTGTGTGTGGAAAGCAGACAGATGGAAGGTGAGGTAAGAAGGGGTAGCAATGGACGCTAGAAGATCAGGTAAGAGGTCATACAGTACTTTGCATCTTGGTCCAATCTCATGATGGCATCAGTTAAGGTGATGAAAACCTATTTGATATATTTTGAAAGCAGAAACAGAAAGATTAGCTGTATGTGTGAAGCAAAGAGACACATGGGGACTGTACAGAATTTGGCCTTGTCATTTCTATCTACCGCACTATGTAGAAGGCATGTCTGTTATCTATGAATCATATCTGTGGACACTGAAGTGGTAGTACTCAAAGAGATATTCATATATGCTAATCACCCTGGGGTTCATTCTCTTACATAAAAGGGGTATTTTCATGGTCATAGACTTCTTAGGGTTAGCATTGAATAAATAAACACATGAAAAGTGCTTGGATTTATCCATGGAAAACAATAAATGCTATATATGTGTTGCAATCATGGATCCTACTCCTACCTGTATTTTGGCAAATGAGAAACTTGGGTTTTTCTAACTATACTAACTTATCTGTGTCCTACCCAGGTGCTCTCTGATGGGGTTTGATCTGAATCGTCACTGGCTGGATCCATCTCCATGGGCCCATCCAACCCTGCATGGGGTGAAACAGCTCATTGTCCAGATGTACAATGACCCGGTGAGTAACAGAGTGCCCTCAGTTGCTGATGATTCTTACAACTTGGTCTGGGAAAGGAAAATATTGCATTGGGAAGTCCACCGGGTGATAAGAATAAAGAATACATGCTCAAAACAGGGGAGGACTGGGTCTCTCCTTATTGAACTTCACAGACCCAAGAAGTACTTTCTCCCAATCCTCTCTCTCTGACCCCTCACACGCACTGAATTTCTTAGTGGATATCTTATAGGATGATGGAACTATACTGGTACATACCCTTATTTGGGAGAGTTCTTTGGTGACAAGCTAAATAAACATAACTCAAGCTAGTATAAGCAAATAGATTATTTCTTAGATGAGTAACCAGGGTGTGTGGCATGCCTGATAATTGTAGAGTGACCTCCTCTACATGTAGGGAACGTGATGCCAAATGTCTCATCTAGTAGTTCCCATTAACTATGGTGACTTCCTCTCATTTTCCAGTTTTACTTCCAAAAGAACTGTGATTGGCCTATCCCAAGAGCCAGGTCCAAATTTGGGCAAGTCAACTCAGGCTCCAGAGTTGACCTGCCCTAAATGGACACTCATGATTGGAATTGGGAGATAAAATGGTACCTGTTCTTAGACAGGAGAATCTGTTCCACCAGAAGAGAGGGAACACTAGACTCCCAGGAGAGTGGGTGCCCATACCAAGGTCATCCATAGGGGAAAGTCCTTTCTTGTAAGAAATAGAAGGCAGTGGGATTCCACAGCACAGAGAAAAGGGGAAGGCCACAATCACTTCATCTCTGAAGAGCTGTCGGAGAGAAAGAGGGCAGGGTAGAGCTTTTGTCAGGTAGGCCACAGAGGAAGGGAGCACGAAGAAATAGAATTGAATTTCTTGACTAGATTTGTGATTTCTAAAATAGCAAAGGCCCCAGATTTGCGGTGCTTCAGAGAGGTACCAAGGTAAATCACTCCATGTACTCTCCCAAAGATGCCAACAGACTATCCCAATTTGAAGAGCAACAGCTTATCTGACAAAACTGAAATGCATGCTTAAAAATAAATGAAATGACTAGTTGCAGTGTGTGCATCTTGGTGATGCAGCCCAATAGTAACTTGAATCCTTCCATGTGGATTTTGTCCCCTCACACTCTTTCACATTCTCTCAGCCCAGGACTGCGTCAGGACTTGCACAGCCAGTTCTTATGTGTATTTGCTTCCTTCCCCAGTTCATCTTCTTTGTCTATAAAACAAAGTGTTTTACCAAATCCCTTTATTTCCCTCAACTCTTTAAAACTTGCTGATCAGTTTTCTTTGCAGAGAGCAGCTGCTGCTATCTTTGTTAAGAAGTGCCCACAGTCTGCTGGGTACTCGTACTCAAGGCTATGTGTTAACTGTAGACTCCATGATATAATCACCATTCCTTCTTCTGCTGCTTTCAAACATTCGTAATAGATATTTAATGAATGTTTGTTGAACTGAACTGGATTGAGCATGGTAAATCTTATTATGCCAAATGTAATATAATTTATAGACACAAAATAGTTATTCACAGAAGGACTATGAGGCATACTAAAAATCAGACATGGACCAAGAAGAGGGACAGAGTGTGAATCATTGAACAAAGTGGTGTTTAAGACAAACCCCCAAAGATAATTATGGGACATGGAAAGACGGGAGATAGACGGAAAGGTTAGGGCTGCTAAAGATGAAGAGGCTCTGGCCTGCTACTGTAACTCATCAATTAGAACTACTGATTTGTTTACAAACAACTGAGCAGTTAGTGATGTTGCAAAATGGAAACTAAGCAAGGCTGAATTATGGCATATTAAGAAATTGTTGGTGCCATGAATAAATTGATCAACAGCTTGCTGTATATTAACAAATACTCTCGGTTGCTGAAGAAGTTATATGAGCCATTTTCCTTCCTGAAAATTCACTCCTCTATGGCTCCAGCAAGGACGAAGGTGCTAAAACAGGAATCAATAAGTCCTGGAACGTAGTGTCATCGCCCTCTCCCCGTGTCGGATCTGTCTTTCCTTCCTCCTTCCTTTTCTCCCTTCTCTCTCCATTCCTTCTTTCCTCACCCACTCATTTCCATCCTTCCTTATATACTTTTCCTTTTCTCTTATTTAATTCATTTTTCACCTAAGCATGTTTATCAGACATTAAGAATTATTCATACTTATGGATTACTGTATAGTATTTTGTTACATGTCTATATAATAAGGATAAACATATTTAACCTTTCACGCTTTTAACATGTTTTTATAGCAGGGGCATCCAAAAGTTTCTAGGATTTTTAAAAAGATGCTGAGTTATTTATTTGAAAGGAAGAATAACAATGAGAGAAAGAGAAAGATTTTTAACTAGCTGGTTCACAATCAAATTGATCAGTAGTTAAGGCTATGCCAAATTGAAGCCAGAATCCTGGAACTCCATCCAAGTCTCTTGTGTAGTTGGCAGGGCCTCAAGCACTTAAGTTATCTTGCACCACTTTCCCAGGTGCATTAGCAGGGAGCTGAATGGAAAATGGATCAGGTGGGACTTGAACAGTGTTCATATGGGATACAAGCATCACAGGAGGCTGCTTAACCCCCTGTGCCACACACTGTAACTAGAAATGTAGAGAATCAAGACTGCAGAATAGGGTAAGGACACATTTAAACAGATGGAGAAAAATATTAGCCAGTGTGAAGAAGAGAGGGCACATTTCAGGAAATAGAAGAGGACAGAATAACAGCAGAAGGGTACCCAGAGACTGACAGACACAGGAAAGCAGCAGACACAACGGTGTGGTGTTGCAGTGATGATACCCAGCTGCCATTCCGTGAACAGTAATCTGAACTCCACCAACAGCCAGAACTCCACCAGCAACAAGGTGGGAAGGGACGTTTACCAGGAGCTCAGGAGGTGAACCCAGACAAAGAACTGCCTGTCCTGCTGGACTGTTTGATTTGACCAGGAGCAGAGACAGAACGGCAGGACCCAGGTGGGCATTGCAGAGACAGGATGGATTTCACAACCCAGTCTGCCTCCTAGAACCAAATTAGGCACCATTTTATTTAAGGAGGCAAAGGCTATGGTGCAGGACTGGGTGTGCATGGAGCTGAGAGTGAACTCATTTCTGAATCAGTGAACTGCAACAACATGGCATCCTACAGGTTCACCCAAGATAGGTCTGGCTAGCCCTCAGACCTGATGGTCAGCAGATCTAGAACTCTAGTAGTGGCACATCAGGCGCTATTTGTACAGTTAGCAAAGAATTTAAGACTGCAGGGGACAACTGTGAACTGCACATGTGCTGATCTCGGCAAGAACTCAGTGAGATCAGTTGATTGCACTGGTCCCACAGGAAAATAATACCAAATATGACACTGTATGGGTCAAAATAGGTCCATGTGGCCCTCAGACCTAATGGGCAACAAGTTCCAGCAAGATCATCACCACCAACTACCTAGCTATATAGGCCACCTGGTGTCTCCCTAATCCTGGGACTTACTGCAACTGGAACTGGGAGAAACGTAGTACAGACAATGGTACTGCCTCAGTATGGTACCACAGGAAGTGGAGAGTGGTGAACCAGGAACTGGGGCCTAGGAGACAACGGTGGAAATTTAACATAAAAACCCAGACCTGGAACTCACTGGAGGGAGTGGCACAAGTGGCTGCAAACAAAGAGCCATGTACCAACTGCAATTAGTAAAATCGAACTGTAGACCTGTGGGTGACACAGCTTAGAAACCTGTTCATGAGGAGAAGAATCTGAAAACCAGAAGCACAATGACCAAGAGCAAAAGAAGAGACAGAGGCACAGTGAATATTACTGAAGACTCCCCTGTAAAGGAGCAAATATCTTTGCTAACCTCAGAGTTAACTGAGGAAGACATCGAGAAAATGGGGGATACAGAATTCAAAACACTTGTTATAAAGCTTCTTATCAACAATGAGGCAGGCATTCAAGGAATTCAAGGAATATGTCACACTGGGAACGAATCAAATGAAAGCTGATATGTCAGAAATGAAGAATACAGTGGAGAAAATTAAAAACACAGTAATGAGTCTCCAAAATAGAATGAAAGAGGTAGAAGAAAGAATCTCAGAATTAGAAGATATTTCCTGTCACCAGAGGGTAACAAACAAAAAGCTAGAAGCAGAGCTGGATCAGGCAAGAAAAAAAAAAAAAAGGTATTCAAGAAATGAAAGACACTATTAAAAGGTCAAATATAAGAATTATGGGCGTCCCAGAAGGTGAGAAAAGAGAAGCTGGATTTACAAATGTATTAAATGAAATAATAAGTGAAAATTCCCTTAATCTAGAGAAAGAATTGGGAAACAACATCCAGGAGGGGCACAGAACACCCAACAGGATTGACCAAAAGTGATCTTCACCACAACACATGATAATCAAACTCTCTTCAATCGAACATAAGGAAAAGATCCTTAGATGTGCACATGAAAAAAATAAACTGACCTATGAAAGAATGCCAATTAAATTCACAGGAGACCTCTCACAGGAAACTCTACAGGCTAGAAAAAGAATGGAGTGATATATTCTAAATTCTAAAAGCAAAAAATTGTTGACCCAGGATAAGGTAACCAGCAAAGTTTTCCTTTGTCTTTGAAAATGAGATGAAATTCTTCCATAATAAAGAAAAGTTTAAAAAATGCCTCTCCCAAACTGTCCCTATAAATGATGCTAAAAGATATTCTTTTGACAGAGAAAAGAAATAGTGCCCACCAAAGCCAAAGGCAAATGCGAGGAACATCCCAGTAAAATAATAATAGAAGACTAAATCAATGAACAACCCATTGCTAAAATGACAGAACCAAATTACCACCTATTTGTACTAAACCTGAATGTAAACAGTTTAAACCTATCAACCAAACATTCTAGATTAATAGACTGGATAAAAAAAAAAAACACATCTGTTGCTTACAGGAGGCACTTTTCATCAACAAAGAAATCCTCATGGATTTTGATTTTTTTTTTTTGGTTTCATCTCTTCAAAACACTTTCTTTTGATTAAATTCTT